TACTTCTATCAACCAACACAACTGTTCAAATCTGGATATACAATGTTTCCTTTTGATTCTCTCCGTTGACTCAGCATGCCCGACTGTCCAGCGGAACTCATGCATACTCCACTCCGGGTGCATTGAAGCGGAAACGCGATTCCACCAGTGGTATTCCATCAAAGGTTAGTGCGAGCGATTCTGTCGTTTATGCGGCACATTCGGAAGAAGACGAGGAAGAGGAAGAAGACGAGGGAGAGGAAACAGACGACGCCGCTCGTGGTACACATCCTGATCAAGAGGTGAAGTCAGCCACAGATGGAAATACAGATGAATTGGGCGCAGAAGAAGATGAGGATGAAGAAGCAGAGCCGGAGGCTGAAGAACCAGAGTTGGGATATGACGATGAGGAAGAGGAGGATCAGCTCACCGCGATTGTTCGTCGACAACGTGAAGCATTTTCTGCTCGCGTAGCCGCAGGCCGTCCAAGCATTAGAAATCAGATAAGGCCAAATCCGAGTGATCTTTCACGTCCGTTGTCCGGGGCCAGTTCTGCGGCGATTGCTCGGGTATTGCAAACGAATAAAGTACTACGTGAGTGGAAGATATTGGCGCGTAAAGTGTTGTGCAAAGTGGCCCGACAATGTCTTGCTACGAGACGTGAGAAAATCAGTGCCGCCAAACGGGCTGCTCGTGAATGTGCACGAGTCGTACGACAACGCGCGCTGTTGTCACACAAGGCAGGCAAAGATGCTGTCAGTAAGTAAATTAGCAGTCTTTTCGCCATTTGTTGATGCTATCATCTGCTTCTGAATCGTGTCTGTTTGTGCGCATCGGGTCGTCACATTGTATCATGGGAGAATCCTGTACTTTTATCCCAAACGCTTGCTAAGTGTCATAAGAGCGAGCATTACCGTTGCTTATTAGTATTAGCCAGCTTAATTTGTGAATGCCTATTTATCAGATAAGTCTGGAAGTAGCAAAGACAGATCTGTTTTTTTTCAGTAATTCTCATCAAACCAATGCAATACACAGTCGAATATTTAGACACAACATAGCGTCATAATCTGTAGTGTGGGTACTCACAGTTATTGTGATGGTTGGCTTTCGGGTGTCCAGTTAGACCAGTGAAGGATGAGTCAAACTGGTGTTTCTGTTCCGCAATCCTACTGGCCTTAGGCCAGGTCAGCAGTAGGGTCCTGACAAATTGTTTTTGCGAAGAAACTATTGGTTGGCTTTGGCTGATCGTGGTCGCTTCAGCTGTGCACAGAATTCTGTGTCTCATCCCCTTTATATTCTACCCGATAGATGACATTGCATGCCCCCTTTCGTCTCAGTTGTGACCCGTGTCGAGTGCGTGGGCTAAAATGGCCTTGGTCGCATTCTTATTGATTCCTTTTGATACCCAAGCTGGAAAGTGTCCTTGAGTTCTTTCTGACAATCGCCTAGTGGAGCTTCCTACGTATTCCGCTCCACAGGAGTAGACAAAACGAGATAGACTGACTTGATAACTTATCGACTTCGCATTAAAGGACAGACAGAGTTTAGCTCAAAGTACGTTCTTTCGATGGCGTGGGATAGTCGACGATTTAGCATTTCGGCTAGCATATATCCCTTGAAATCAATTGTTGCATAAAACCCTTTTCTTAGGGACCGTAGAATAACGGGACTGAGACTCAGTCTTGGTGTGCCTTTTGATGAAGCTTTCTGGATAACCGTTTCCCCTTAACGTGTTGTCTGTCAGAAGCAGTTCATCTGGAAGCTTGTTGGCGGAGCGGATTTGTCTGGTTCTATGGACCAGATAACGCACCAAATTTTGCTTCTGTTGCATTGGTACGAAGCTCTCCATTTAGGCTTGTGGTATACACTTCTCTCGATTCCCCCATTTCATTTTCTGTGTAGAAGCACATCCAGAAACGGTAGTCAATCAGCATTCTCTAGCTCCATGGTGAAATGAAGATGCGGATGAGATTCATTGAACGTTCGCAGGATCTCATCCACGTCTATGTTTCAAGGTACTAAACTGAATGTATAATCTACATAGCGCTTGTATATGTTTATCCGTATGACGATTAGTCTTAGAGTACTACTCTCATTGTTGGCCATAAATATGTCTGCGAGCAGTAGACCAAGTGGAGACCCCATCCTATTAGAGATGTATTATGCCCTACGTATATAAAAATGTCAGAGAATATTTTGACAATATATGAAACTTATGGTTCAAAAAAATATGTATTCCATCACATTCGGTTTTCTGACTGGCATTCAAATACACTGAACTACAGGAGCGATTCCTTGTTATCCGAATTCGTTATTTAAGGATTTGTGACAGAGCAGGCATCTAAGTGAACAAGGAGGAGGCGAATGCTCACGTTGATCAACAATGAAAACCATTTGAAAGAAGTAATCGATCGAAACGGTTTTTTGTCCAAGTGGATAACTAGAAAGCTGTATTCTAAATGTATAATCAGTTTCAGGTTTTACAGTCCTCAACTATCCGTCATTTTTGCACCGGTTTTGGTTGTTATCTTGTGCTTACTCACATAGATAAGATGGGTAAAAGGAAAATCAAAATGTTGAGGGCAGCATCAGAGAGAAAATAAAAGATCCTGTTAGACTAAGGTGTTGATGCGAGCGAGCACTTGAGTAAATGGGTCAAAACCCAAGTACAAGGGACAGCACGTGAAATGTAGTGCATTCATTCAAGGGGTTCACCGGTCTGTCTCCCAGGTTATCAATTTATTAAAAATCTGTTGTTAAACAACTCATCTTTACTCAAGGTGCGGGCTGACTTGATCGCTCAGAGTGATATGATATTTCGGTTAGGGTTGATAGTTCATCTCGTCTTAACAGCAGTGGACCTGGAAGCACAACACTTGCACACTGAATGCGCTCAAACGTCATTTTCGTGCGGAAAAGATAGACACGCCGGTTACCCCATTGTATGTATATATGTACATACGTATGTATGTTTCAGTTTCAGTTTGAACAACCATTAACCATGTACTTTCGTGCGCCGGCTTTGGTTGCTGTCTTTTGGCTACCTATTTGGATGAATAATGGGACAAGACAAGAAAGTTGAAGGTAGAGTCGAACAGAAAATGGAGAAGTTCAGTGGTCTAAAATTGCAAAGAAATTGCTCATCCGGCTGCCCCACCAGATTCGTGCAATGCTGCATAGACAGCGATGTTCAAACACAAACAGTCTATCTTTATCCTGTTTTCTAATGGCCAAGTTTCTGCACCGTATAGCAGAACTGGCCGAACTGCCGCGGCATACACTCGACCCTTCACAGACAGCCGGATGTCGGGACGCCGCCACAGATGTCTCATGTTGGCAAATGTCAACCGAGCCTTCTGTATGCGAGCTGACACTTCATCCGTGATGCGTCCACCGTGTGGGATGTAGCTGCCCAAATAACAAAACTTATCTACCTGCTCTATAAATTCTATTACTTCACAAGAGGAGCTATCACCTTTCTTGTAAATCGGTATGATCACCGACTCACACCATTCAGCGGGAACCTCTTCCCTTTTCCATATTGAACCCAGGAGTTTTGTCACTTCAAGACTAATCCTGAGCCTCCATCGTTAAACGCTAATGGGTACAGTCCATCTGGGCCAGAGGCCTGAGGCCTTTTGAGATAACGTATTTCCCGAGAAACCTCCATTTCAGATGGAGGACTAGCATCAACTGGCAGTATTTGCCCAGTCAAGGTGAAGGGTAAAAGATCAGATGTCGATGGGGGCCAGTTGAACTGAGCCTTGGAGTGTTCAGCCCATCGATCAAGACGGCATTGCTGATCGTGAATCAGTGCGCCATCAGATTCCTTAACTACCTCACTTCCTCGTACTTTCCTGGGGCCTGTATTCCTAATTAGACGGAAAAGAATACGACTATTGCTGATAGCCGCAGCCTTCTCCATCTCTCTACATTTCTCTACCTACCACTTCTCGCGGTCACTCCTCAAACTCTTGATGAGCTGGCATTTAAGGGATTTCCGCACTGTGTCATATGTGGTATTTGGAGGCAGGGTTCTGCGGCAGTCCATCAGGGCAACCGAGATTGAGGAGATCCATCGTTTATGTTTTGAACCTGCCTCAGCGTCCAACGTTGTTTTTATCGATATCTGCATAGCTTCCTTGATTTGCTCCCGGTGTTCATTGAGTCCTTCGACTGGTGGTTGAACTGATAGGCGATCGGAGAGCTCCGCTTCGAACGCCGATTTGCAGCTATCCTGGACGCTGTATCGTGGGTATCCGTTGTCGGCGGCTTTTCTGCAGTTGTTTGCCAGGCGTAATGAGAACTTGGCGCGTAACAAGGCGTGGTCTGTATCCGCAGCTGTTGACCAGTAAGAACGGCAGTCTTGAATTGATCCATTTCAGCGATAACTGATGGTGATGTGGTCGATCTGTGTCCAGCGTTGTGAAGAGGTTGGCGGTTTCCATGTAAGACGGTGACGCTTTTTGTGCGAGAAGTTCGTGTTTTCCAGGAACAGTCCGTGGTCCGCGCGGAGTTGAAGTAGGCGATCTCCGTTGTCTGTCCGTTTGTCTGGGATTGCATATGGTCCACCAAGAAGCCTTTCTGATTCGTCCAGGGACCCCACTTGAGCATTGAAGTCTCCGGCGACTACTACGACGTCCGTTGATCGAACACTGAAGTAATTGGGAAAGATCCTTGTAGAATTCATCCTTGATTTCAGGTGTACTGCAATCGGTCGGTGCATACACCGATACGACGAATAAGCATCGACGCTTCATTCTGTAGCCGTTGACCCGTGCTGAACCGTTGACACGTACAGCACACAGTCGGCTACTGACTGGAATCCAGTCAAGAAGAGAGGGTTCCGCCTTGCACTTAGCGCAATCCCAACACCGCGAGCTTCGGATGCTGAATCGCCTGACACATGGAGACTGGAGCGTGAGGATGAGGCTAGATCTGGTGAACGCAGGGAGATAATGGAAGTAGGGTCTTGTATTCGTGTTTCGGAGACATAACATACATTTAAATTAAAAGTTTCAAGGCTTCTGGCTAAGGCAGCTTGTTGACCGATCTGATAGAGTGTGCGAACATTGAACGCAGCTAAGTGAAAAGGGGAATTTGGCTTTAAAAATCCTATAACTTCTGATTAATAGTCGATGGGTGGCGTAAATAGGAGACATTTGGGATTGAGAAGAACTAGATAGGTGGTTTTCCAAACGGGTGCCTAAGACCTAAGGGCACGACAGCCCACACTGACGAAGGGGTTTTTCTTTGGGAACCTTAACCGGAACCTTCGAATCAAAAGTCTGACCCATAAGGCAGTGGGGCGTAAATCCAACGCGGGAGCGTGAACGAAGCACCCGTGTGGGAGCTTCTGGAGACCTGTCACGCAAGGCCTTTGAATNGGACAGTACCTTATTGGCTGGGGGCTGCCCAGCTTGGGCGGGCGGTAGCTGTCCAATGAAGTGCGAAGACTTCTCCCACCGTCGAGAGGAAGCCCCAGG